GGTGCAGAGGAATCTGGGTGTCCTATTGTGTGAATCACAAAATGTTAGTATGCAAATAGATTCGGCAATTTGGTAAGCTAAAAGATTTTTTTATTGCGGGGGAAATGGACTGAAAAAAGTAAGGAGTGTAAGATTCAGTTTTTGGTGGAGACCACATTTGCATACTGGGTGCAATATTTGGCCTTCTTATTTAAAGATTTGAGTTGAAGATTTTCTCATCAAAGGAACCCTGATAGGAATGGAAGGAGCATGTAGGTATGTGGGAAAGGGTAGTGCCTTGACTTAGCTATCAAGAACTACACCTTTGCATGCTCCGTTTAAGGTTTTGCTAAAAATAGGAGAAAAAGAGGACATTCTTCCCCTAAACATTCCATGAGCCAAAAAAAGGAAAGAAACTTCTTTCATAATAGGCCATGGCTCCTTGTAATCTCTCTCTCCAGTGCAAGCTTCTCTGTGTTTAAAGCTGTAGCTGAAATTCTTTGTGGTTGAAATGCATCGAAGCTGTTTAGTAGAGATTTACTTGGTTTAATACCTGGGTTTTCCTATGAGGAAAGTTGCACAAGTTAGATGTGTATTCTCTAGAATTTAGAAGAGTAAGGAATGGTTTGATTGCATTGTACAAGATCCTAAATGGTCTTGACAGGTGTGAGAATCTTGAGTTCAGGGTCAATGTTTAAAAATAAGGAAGGGGTCACCCATTTAAGACAGAGATGTGGACAGTTTTTTTTCTCAGGCTAGTAAGTCTTTGAAACTTTTTTAAAGGCAGCGTTTCTGGCTATTTTTAAGGCACAGTTAGATTCTTAATAAACAAGCGCATGAAAAGTAAAAGGAGGTCGAATGTGGAGTAATAAGTTAGCCATGATCTTACTGAGTGATGCAGCAGGCTTGAGAGGCCCATTCCTATTCCTAAGTAGTATGTTTACATGTATGTTTGCAGGTGCCTTCTTTGTAATTCCGTCTGCAGCCTCATATCTACTATAACCCCAGTCAGAAACTAGGCTTGAAGTCTGTATTGTTCCATCACTCAATCCACATCCTTTGCTTTGTGCCTTGATATTGTATAATTTGAAAAAGCTATCAAGCCCTAAAAGATATTAGAAAATCGAGGAGAAGAAGTACTGTTCCAAAACTGCTGCTTGTGCAACCACTGTATCTTTAAATGCTCCAACATTTCCCAGTGGGCTGCCAGGTTGCATCTTTACTCTGTCTCCTTCCGTAATGGTTTCACAGTGAGGTCAGGCACTAGCTACTGGGAGCAGATTGAATTTATTTCAATGTGCTCTCTTCATGTTATAAAGCAGTTTATCCTGAAGGATGTGACCTGCATTCAGTGTGCAGACGCCTTAACTCCTTGCAATGCGGATTGCGTTCTTGGCCCTTGGCTTTCTCCTTGGTAATCTGTGCTGGACATTGGTATCTGCTACCACTTTCAGCATCAGAAAATGAATAAGTATTTTGAGTTGATATTTCTTCGTGTGCTATTTTTTGCACCGTGCTTGATATATTTTAGTCAAATGCTTGTGTGCATCAGTTGGCAACTATTTCACAATGAATGCATTAACCACGGCACTAGAAACAGTACACAAAGATTTGTAGCTCTTAAGAAACAAGCATTTGCATAGTGAATTGCCACTTAATGAGATACTAATGGGCTAGCAGCAGTTCCAGCTCGGATTTCTACTCCTTTGTCAGAAGAGGGGATCTTACTTAAAAGTTATGTGTTTGCAATAAACAGTGTCAGTTTGCTAATGTGATGCATGATTATAGTGGTAAATGAGTTGACACCGGGAGGTCGCTGCTTCAGTTTGATGACCAAAACGGTGAATTCTGCCAGGCAGATGGACAGTGAAAATTCAGAAAGTGGTCGGTAGCACTACAGCAGCCATTGTCAGTGGCTGATGCCCTGCAAGTGGTAACTTTGAACATAGATCAAACGTCGAGGGTCATTTCTGAGCAAAGGAACTCTGACCGGAATGGGATGAATGGCTGCGTATGTGGGAAAGGGTAAAAACTTGAATGTTAGCTATTAAGAACCAAAGCTTTGCACACTCATTTAAGTGGGGTAGCTCAGTGTTTAGCACAGCGGCCTTACAGTGCAAGGGACCCAGGTTCAGTTCCAGTCCTGGGTGACTATCTATGTGGAATTTGCACAATCTCCTTGCGTCTACATGGGTTTCCCCTGGATGCTCCAGTTTCCTCCCACAGTCCAAAGATGTGCAGGTTGGGTGGATTGCCAATAGTGGTCAGGGATGTGTGGGTTAGGTGGATTAGCCCCAGGAAATGCAGGGATAGCATAGGAGTGTGTGTCTGGGTGGGATGCTCTTTAGAGAGTCAGTGTGGACTCAATGGGCTGAATGGCCTGTTTCCAGACTGTGGGGGGCGTTCTATATTGCTTAAAAATAGCAGAAAAAATAGGAAATCCTTCTCCTTAACATTCCATAAGCAAGAAAAGGAATAAAACTTCTTTCATAACAGGCTACAGCTGCCTGTAATCTCTCTCTCTGCAATACAAGTTTCTCTGTGTTTAAAGTTGTAATTGAAATTCATTGAAAAGGAATAAGTGTAATAGAGTGTCTGTTTGTACATACATCAGTATCATTTGGGATTTGGATTTTAAAATAGAGACAGATGAATTTTAGTCAGTGCTGTGTAGGTTTTTCCTCAAGAGAGATCAGAAAATCCATTCAAATAGTGACCTGAATACATATTTCCAAGAATCTTGTGACTTTTGTTAAGTGCCTAATCATACACCTGTGCAGGGATTGGATAAAATGTTTAAACTGCTGAGTTTATGGTAGGCAGGGTAAATAATGCAGCGCCACTAGTTTCGTTTTGACTTTAAATCAGAAGGTTCAAATTTTGAAATTAGAAGAACCGGTCACCATGGTGGAAGTTTGTGAAGAATCCAGGTTGTGAGAGTGTGTAGAGGGCTCCACTATCTGAACTGAAAAGGAGCTTAGGCCGTCAGAATTGAAAAAGGCTCATTCCAACAGCATATGAAAGCAGCCATAAAACTCTCAGCAATCCAAAGGAAATAACTGAGAAGAGTCAGTTAAGGAAGGCATTATAAAGAATTGAGATAGGACTGAGATTTCTCTGGGTTTGATTCTCTGTAAAAGGATGGTGCAGGGAAACATGTTGAAACTTTTGTTGTTTATGTTAAGATCTTTGTAACTGTCTCATATAGCAGGATATATAGCTTTTATTTTTCTTTCTTCTATGTAATAGTCCACTATTCTTTTATTCAAGAACATTTGCAGCCTCATGTGAATATGTTCATGTGAACTAACCACCGCAGTAACCATCTGTAAAGGCTAAACATGATCTATCAAGTCAAGTTCCATTCCTGAAGCTCACTTGTCAGTATTACCATCAGCTGGAATCATAATACAAGTGACAATGGTCTCATTCAAGTACGTTGTATGTCTGCATGACTGGAGTCTAGGTGGTGAACTCTGTTCAGATATTGCATTTGCATCTCTATTGTCTGTCTGAATTCAGACCAAGCTCAAAGAACACTGGCTGTATATGAACTGAGCCCTCTCAGTGGCAGCCCAGGTCGACTTGTGAATTGGCTCGCAGTACAAACTTGCACCCAATTTCCACTGGCCAATGGTTACCATATTAGGGAGCTTATTGAAAGATTTGTTTGGATGGCTGCTGTGGCATTATTACTTCATACATTTGTACAATAGAAGCTTTCCTGGATTGGGGCAGAGTGTCTACTGCTGACTACATTATACCCAGTCCAGGGGTCACTGCAAGCACAAGATGGAAAAGAAGCGCGTTCTGTAACATTCAAAGCCATCTCCTTGTTGAGCATTTGATTCTCCCCATTCTATATGCCCTAGGGAGGAAGCTACCAACTAGCACCAGACAGCCATGCTGGCTGCAAGAAGACAGGTACCATTGGTCAAGTGATAACTCTTAGTCATAATCTTACTCTTGTTCACGTGAGAATTCACTACAATGCATTTGAAGAAAATTTCTTCTTCCCATGCCTCCTGGCTTATGAAGCAGTGAAGGCATATGCTAATATATGTTTCCATTGCTGGGTTTTCCTTGAACAAGGTGCTGGTTACCCTGTCACAAGGGACTGTGGTTTGTGGGCAACACTCTGCATCAAACATGGGGAAACAGGAGTCTCTCTTACTCTTACCTCTGCCAGAGGCGATTTGGAAAGATTTGCAGATTAACAATAAGTCTGTTTGGCCACATTATGCCCACGTCTTCTGTAGCTGTTGAGTCTTGGAATAGAGATGGAACCTGGAGAATTGAGCTCGGGGGTGGGAATGCTATCCGTTGTGCTACAAGATCATTTGGAGGATTGCGCCAATTTAATGGAGGCAGATTGATCACTACGTCAAAGTTTCCAAGGGGCGCAACCTTAAAATGCAAATGAAGTGTAATGTCCAGTAGAACCCATTTATAGAAAGAAAGACTTGCATTTCTCTGGTGCTTTTCATAATCTCCTTTTTCCAACAATGTTTACGACCAATTATATACTTTGCAAGTGTTGTAATATTGGAAATATTGCAGCCAATTTGTGCATGGCAAAATCTCATAGACAACAAAAAGAAAATGATCAGATCATTTGTTTTAGCCACTGGATGAGGGATAAATATGGTTCAGCACAATAGGTAAACTGCCTTGCTTTTCTTGTAAAAGATAACACTGCATTATTTCAGACGAACTGAAGGGCTAATGGGACCTCTGTTTAATGTGCCATCCAAAAGTTGGCATTTCTGACAGGGCAGCACCCACTTTGTCCTGGCACTGCAATACCAACCTCTATGTTTTGAATAAATGATTAGTTGATGCCAATTACGTTCACAGTACAGTTGGGTTAAAAGGATAGTAGTACTTGAGAGAGATTTCATTGTAAAGCTGGGCTGATGGGGTTGGATCTTATTTGCTTACTTAGCCTCCCCAATATGCCGCATTGTCTTGTCACAAGATGTTGTTGATTTTCATTCCCTTTATTTGTTGTTTCTTCATAGGTTGATGAGTTTGTGAAGTTCGCTGAAGTGTTCCCTTTAATTGACACGGGTATTGAGGTAGATCCAATGAATTACCTAAAGACGGTGGGCTGGATCGAATTGATTGGAGGATTTCTACTGGCGTTTGGATTGAAGTTCATGCAGGAAGTCAGTGATATTGTCCTTGCAATCGTTATGATGGGTAAGAAATGACACAGTCCAGTAATATATACTTCAGCCAGACTCACTCATGATTAGCACGGGCTTTGTTGTGAGCATGCTGCTCAATCAGAAACTCTGCTATTCCTTCACTTCACTGGCAAATAAGGTTGTTCAAGCACTGGCGGTGCATCTGACTTCACAGGAAAAAATAATCAGTGAAGCGTGAGGATAGAATGAAGAAACAAGACTCTTCATCCTCAAATAAAGGTGAATGATGGTGTCCTTGTCAAATGATATTAAACAGCACAGAAAATACAACTCCTGTTTCTCCTCTCTATCTTTAAAATGTATCAGTGGATGGAATTTACTCACTTTTTTCTTGTGCGTGGGGAGATTCGGGATTGGCGGGGGTTTGGTGAGCGTAAGAGATAATGACTAACATGCCACCCCAACCACTGAGAAGACCATCTGACTGACCCACCAATCAGCTCAGAGAATCACAGGCCTCAACACTGGCATACTGAGTTCCCAGCCGGTCAGAGGCCAGCAGCTTCTGAGTCCAAAAGTCAGTCAGTTGAGGCCTAGTCCTTGGCACATCCAACTGCGAGAAACCAACTACTTTTTATATCATTCCTGTGTTGGTGACATGGGGAGATGGGGCACAAGGAAGTTGGTGGCAAGGGGAGAAGGTGGCTTCCACAGGCCACCCTCTTGCCATTTATCTGTGCCTCCGATTGCCCGCTTGACCACTTAAGGGCATTAATTGGTGGATCAAGCAGGTCATCCATGGATCTTCTTGTCGAGACCTTAGCTAGTGAAGTGTCAAGGACTGGGTGAGTTTGTGTCCAGGGTTAACTTGCCCTAATATTTCACTTGCTTGACAACTTTGTCGCCACCTCTAGAGAGAGGGGAAAATCACACCCAGTTTGGTTTCATGTATATTGCAACTTCTAAGTGAAGTGGAGTTTGTGCTTTGGGAAACTGGATCGAAAATGAGCCTCTTTTTCCCAGAAGATGCTCACAACTAGCAAAGAAGTTCTCTTTCATTCCAGCAGTTTGGGATGGAGCTGAGCTTCAATTCCTGGAGTGGGAGGACAGTGTATCAGTGAACTCATCTAATTGAACTGTATTATGTTCTTTTTAATTGCAGTTTTTACTAATTGTGACATTTATTGATGGTTTTGATAGCCTGTAACCTTGACTTTGTACGCTTATAACCTCCTATACTGCTAGCAGTATGTCAGTTAAAAGTTTCCATTGAACTGAACGTGTGAACTATTTGGTTGAAATCAGCACCAATTATGTCCAGTATCCTACCCTGTTCATTTTCAGTACATCAATAAAATCAACCACTTTCTGACAACTGTTACTGCTGGCCTTTCCCTGTGCCTGATCTCAATCAAAACTTCTTTTGAAGCTCTCCACCGTGACACTAGTCAGTCTCTCTCATACTCATCGACTTCTCCACTCCATTTCTCACAACCTATGCTGCAGTCCTCGATTTCTCTGATCAACAGAAGGCTGATGATCTGACCCAATCCAAATATTATTTTCATGTTGCAGCCACCCAGTCAAACGGAGTGTCACAGTGCCGTAAATTAGTTTGCCTTCAAAATGTGAACTAATCAGTCTCGGAGAGAGGGCAGGATGTTCTCTACAACAAAAGCAAAGTATAGCTGTAAATCTGAAATTAAAACAGAAAATACTGGGAATCCTCAGCACTATGATCAACTTCTGTGGAGGGATGAATGGAGTTGATGCTTCAGGTCAGTTGGGTTTGAAGGATATTGAGAGGAAAGGAGTGGAGTAGTTGGTGAGTAGAGTAATGAGCACAGGGGCTGTAGATGAGGGTTTCAACAGGAGAGGACATGAGTGAGATGGAGCATTAGGCCATTGTTGACAATCGTGAGGAGGTGGAAGAATAATTTGTTCATTACTTGATCTATACAGGCATGATGCACATTGAACCCTGCTGCAAATAATCGACCTGAAATGTTAACTAACCTACCAATGTATGAAATAGGAGCTGAGATAGACCATTTGGCCTTTCAAGCCTGCTCTGCCTTATAACAAGATCATAACTGATCTGAACTCAGAATATTCTGTACAATTGGACAGAACAGGAAACTGAAATGTCAGGACCAGTGGTTTTGAAAACAAACAAATTGTTGAAGGAACATCCAGATGACAATAAGCCTTCTAGCTTCGCTTTATATCTGCTTCCAGACTTCAGTATCCCATTGCATTACTGTCTAGAGGAGAGTTTGGGGAGGGAATCAAGCAGCATTCCACCTTCTGACCATTATCTCATGTTGCTTGCTAGAAAATGCATCAGTACTTAAAAGTTTCACTGATTATAGGCTAAATCACAGTTGCTTATTAAGGTCAGAATATGGCACAATGTGACAGCACATAAACATACCTGGAGAAAATGCTGACGGCCAGTGTAGGAAAGCCCAAAACTGTAGGATAATAATTCCATTCACTCATTGTCTTTACATTTAATCAGCCAGTTGGTTAATTGTATTACGTATTCTATTTCATTTGCAGTTTAATTGAAGAGATACCCCATGGAGGAGGCAGTAATGTAGTTGTAATGTCACAGGACTCCTAAACCAGAACCCCAGGCTAATGGTCTTGGGCCATGATTTCAGAACCTACTATGACAGATGGTGAAATCTGTATTCAATGAAAAATCTGGAATTGAAACTGTTGGTAAAAACTCCCTTAATTTCACTGATCTGTTTGAAGGGAGGAAATCTATCGTTATTACATGTTCTGGCCTACATGTGACACCAAACCCACAGCAATTTGGTTGGCTCTTACCTGCCCGTCAAATGATGGCCTGGCAAGCAATGCCCATGTTCTATGAATATATTAAAAAAATACACCTCTTCAGCTCTGACTTTTAAGTAATATTCTGCATCTCCCACATCCTGGAACAATGTCAGTTTTCTTAGTTTATTTTTGTAACCCACCTTGGGATGCTCTTTATGTTAAGGGTAGATATTTAAGCACGAGTTAGATGAGCATAGTGAACAATCTATTATTGTATCATCGAGGGTGATATGGCATCCCTCCCCTGCCTGGGCAATAGGTTCAGTGTAGAGGTCTTACTGCCACTCTGGTTCAGACCCGTTAACCTAGCACAGAGAAGGATGAGAATAGGGACCTTTCTGGTCTCTTTGATTCAGCTTTGAATAAGGTAGTGCATACACACACTACACCATCTGAGAGGTTAGACTATAAGAGTAAGGAAGTGCCATTTTTGTTCCATTTGCATAAGGCTTCTTATCTGTGTTGGGTAGAGGAGAGATGTGAGCAAATGACCAAAATGGTGATGATGATAATCAGTATGAGAATGATACAGTAACAGAATCCGGCCGCAGAGGATGAATAAATGGCTGTAGTGAAATAACCGAGCAGGAAGCAATGAAAATCTGACAAAAACCCAGACATATGGCAACAGAAAGACCAACAGTGCAGATTACTCTGCTAGCCAAATACTGCTTTGGAGATGCCGATCCCAAGCATCAATCCACATCTGTTTGATTCCAAATGGCCATATTTCACTCGGATCTAGGGACAGCACAGTGGCTCAGTGGTCAGCACTGCTGCCTAACAGCGCCAGGGACCTGGGTTCAGTTACACTCTCAGACAACTGTCTGCAGTTTGCACATGCTCCCTGTGTCTGCGTGGGCTTCCTTCAGGTGCTTCAGTTTCCTCCCACAGTCCAAAGATGTGCAGATTGGCCATGCTAAATTGCCCCATAGTGTCCAGGGATATGCAGGCTAGGTGGTTTAGCCATGGGAAATGCAGGGATAGGATAGGGGTGTGGGGATCCGGGTGGGATGCTTTTCGATGGGTTGGTGTGGACTCCACAGACTGAATGGCCTGCTTCCACGCAGTAGGGATTCCATGATTTGCTCTGTGGAAGCATGCTGATTAACATTTAAAGTTATTCCCTTAGCCCTGTCAAACCTGGGATTAGATTGTGGCTTTACATCACTTGGAAAATGATTAAATCCATATCAGGTGCATATTTCTTCTCTCAAGGTTGCATAGACTCATCACAATTTGATTAATGAACTTCCACTGAGAATAGACACATGGAGCTGGGCCTTGATGATGTTTGAGGATAGACCACTAGGTGGCTGCAAAAGCAAAAGTAGATCATGACCGAAATGAAGTGTCACCAGCTCAGTGCTTGAAACAAATTACAATTTGAAGACTAAAAGAAATGAAGAGTAACCAAGAGGGGGAAACAAAGTATGATTCGTTCATTTTTTGTTGGTAATTGAATGGCTTAGAGTCCCTGAAGCAGCTTTGAGTTTTGTTGTGGAGGAGCAAGGGGCTGTACAGTACAGTGAGTTTCAAAGGGCCCTCAATTAGCCAGGACCTTGTCAGTAGGTCTCACTTGTGTCAGGGAGGGAACAGCAGCAGCTGACCGGGGCAGATGCTGAGCTGCTGACACCTATAACCTTTCATATCCAGCAGAAATGTGGCACGTTGCACTTGCTCCTTCCACTGAAAAGGGTCGTGCAAAAAGCAAAAGATAAATATCCTGCATTGTCACTAGATCAAGCATCAAGAAGCAAAAATGGAGACACAGAAGGTGCTGATGGTGGAGGTAAAAATCAAATGTTTAGATATTTCCATTGTAAAGAAGTGGAATACCCTTGTTCAGAATGCTGGACATGGCAATGAAAGCCGATGGGACCTATTGGGGTTTGTAAGAGTGAGTCCATAAAACAGCAACTCAAAACGTAAACACCCCAGATAATTTGCATTTTGAACTACAATCAGGAAAACAGAGGTAAACACTGCTAAGTGCAGGAGAGGTGAATAGGGTAGATCAAAGGTGGAAAGAGTTTATGTCAAAAGAGAAAATAGCTCAGTTTTCTTCATATGATGCCATTAAAATCCTAATGATATTAAGGGAGCACTGGAGCTACTCAACACTGTTTTGCAACAGAAGGAATTGTATTCCCACCAGAGAGTGAAATGAATGCCAAAATGCTAATTAATGGGATAAGTGGAGAGTGTATCCCAGGTCTGTTGAATGAAATAAATTAAAAGAGTGTGGCTTGTTAATTGGATCACTGGGAACAGGACTTATTTAGAAATTACCCATGGTTGGAATTGACTTATTCCTGGGGAATGATTTAGCTGGAGTAAAGGTTATAGTTTCACCCATAATCGTGGAAAGCTTGAACGGGGTTAAAGAGACAGAACAGTTCCAGGAGCATTACAAGCTCTTTAGGGAGCTTGACATGTTGGATATGAAAAGGTTCTTTGGACAGTCTAAGACCAGAGGA